CCGACCTGGTGATCCGCCTGCCTCGGCCTCCCAAAGTGCTGGGATTACAGGCATCAGCCACCGCGCCTGGCCTATATCAATATCTTTTATTGAGCACATAATTTTAAAACACTCCTCTATGCACATTATCTCATAAAGCTTAAAACCACACTGTGAGGTAAAGAAGGCAGATCTTATCATATTTATTTTCAGATGAGTACACCAAAGTTCAAGTGATAATATTCTGCCCAGGATAAATTAGCAGTCAATAATAATGCTATTCTGAAAGAAATTCTTTGAACCAAAATTCAGCCAAATTACAATGAACTATATAATCAAGTTTAGCTGACTAAAATACAAAATTATTGTTAAAATAATACTGAAAATCTCTAAAGAAATAAATTAAAAATAGTGGAGGAAAAAAATGTCAAATTTAGTTTCCCCTAGTATTTCAATGAATGCTTTCAAGAGTACGGTTAATTACTACCATCACAAATCCTCATTCAGTGAATCTAACTTGTTATAAATACAGGCAAAAATAAAAAAATAGAGGGTACTACTAGTGAATCTAGTACTTTTCATAAATGTACAGGCAAACAGAGATTACCAGACATGTGAAGAAAACACCACCCAAAAAAGAAGTGTAACAAATTGAAAGAGTTATTCAAAGAGGAGAAAAAAATGTGAAATCTATGTAGTGTCCCAATATCAAAGCTTACATCTATAAGATAAAAGCAGATAACTATGAACTAGAAAAAGTTCCCAGAAATATAAAGTAACAGCTGAAATAAGCAAATCAGTAAAGGGCTGGAAGAAAAAGGAAATCTCCCATTTAAAAAAAGAGAGAGAGAAAAGGAAAAGACATGGAAAATGAAAGAAAAATTATACCAAAGCTCCAGAAAAATAAAAACAGAGAAGATACAAGGAAAGAAGTAATCAAAGAATTATAGAAGATTTCCCAGAATGGAAGAAAAACCTAGACTTTCATATTCAAAGGGTTCACCAACATTTATAGGATGAATATAAAAAGGACTACAGCCTGTAGTCCTACCTCAGAGAGGCTGAGGCAGGAGGACCTTGTGTACAGGGGTTCAAATCCAGTCTGGGCAACACAGTAAGACTATCTCTAAAAAAACAAATTTTTAATTTCAAAAATAAATAACAATTTTAAAAAGAATTGTAACTCATCCTCCTTAAATTTTATAATTCCAAGGGGAAGGAGTCATCAACACAAAAAGCTTCTAGAGAACAAAATCAAGTTACCTACAAAGAAATGGTTCATAATAGCATCAAATCCCTTATCAGTAAAACTGATTACTAAAAGGCAGCAGAATGAATGCAACCTTCAAAATTCTAAAGAATTATTTTAAACTTGAATTCTATACCCAGCCAATGTATGTATCAGGTGTGAAAGTGAAAAAGACGTTTTCAAACATTACATTGACAAGCACCCACACACATTCCTCCCGAAAAAGTTACTTCAGGAAGTACTCTAGAGAATGGTAGAACAAATCGAAAATGGAAAGATGTAAGATCTAAGAAAGTATAGAATTTGTCCGAGAATTAAATCAAATAACATGATGTTAGTTGAGCATCATATCCAAAAAGAAGTAACTTCATACTAGAATTTCAACAAACAGTACAATTAAAAAGCTGGACAACCAGGTGACATAATGAAGGCATGAACTCTTCTACCAACAGGAGGCAAATGTGGCAATTAGAAAATACAGGATGTGAGCTGAGATTGCACCAATGTACTCCAGCCTGGACGACAGAGCAAGACACCATCTTAAAAAAAAAAAAAAACAGAAAATACAGAAAAAGGAACTGGCGCGGTGGCTCACGCCTGTAATCCCAGCACTTTGGGAGGCCAAGGCAGGCAGATCACGAGGTCAGGAGATCGAGACCATCCTGGCTAACTCGGTGAAACCTCGTCTCTACTGAAAATACAAAAAATTAGCCAGGCATGGTGGCAAGTGCCTGTAATCCCAGCTACTTGGGAGGCTGAGGCAGGAGAATCGCTTGAACCCGGGAGGTGGAGTTTGCAGTGAGCCGAGATCACGCCACTGCATGTCCACTGGGCGACAAAACGAGACTCTGTCTCAAAAAAAATAAAAAAAAAATAAAGAAAAACCAGGAAAAATAGCCACAGTCCAAACTAGAAACCAAATTAAAGTATGGCAGCTCTGGAGTACAAAAAGAGTGTAAGAAATCCATTTGTTCTCCAATGAGAACACATGGACACAAGGAGGGGAACATCACACACCAGGGCCTGTCGGGGTGGGGGGCAAGGTAAGGGAGAGCATTAGGACAAATACCTAATGTATGGGGGGTTTAAAACCTAGGTGATAGGTTGATAGGTGCAGCAAACCACCATGGCACATATATACCTATGCAGTAAACCTGCACGTTCTGCACATGTATCCCAGAACTTAAAGTAAAATAAAATAAAATAAATCCATTCGCTCTCTAAGAATCTCATCATACCACTTTGTTTAACCATATTATTTATATAATGTAATATTTTAACTGCTTTTCAGAATCAGCAAGTATAACTATTATAAATCTTGACATATAAAACAGATGTTATAGTTGACAATCTGGAAAGGGAATGTGAGGAATTCAACAGAAAGATGAGGAGGAAAGCTAATTTTTTTTACAAATTATGAAGTGACAAGTTTAGAGACAATGTCTGAACACTCTAAAGTTAACTGTCAAACAGCTGTAAGTTTAATCATAAAGGCAACCAAAAAATAAATAAAAGGAAGATGGTAGAATCAGTATTAAAAGTTAAATCCTTCTATTTTTCACAATGGGGAGATATTAGGTTACTGAAGGTTAAAGTTTACTATATTATATTAAAAATTGGCATAATGATAAGATTAAAAATAGGAAAAAAGTTCTAAAATAATTATCTCTGACAAAGAAGGTAGAACAGATAGGGAGTAGATTTTTTATTTTTCATTTTATACCTTTGTGTATTATTCAAATTCTTATGTTTATGCGACTATTCATCTCAAAATAAACACACATTATTAGAACCCCTTTCCCTGACTACTACAAGAAAAATGATGAGAAATTCTTATTCATTTTTTTTTCCATAATCCATGGACTAAATACTTTCTATTATGGTATTTCAAAGATATAATTAATTAAACAGACTCAAGAATCATCCTAAATCCTTGATAAACATGTGGAGATAGCAACAGCTTACACTGTGTTAGAACTGTCAAAATACATCCACATCCATCATCTCATTTAACCCTCAAAACAATCTTGTGAAAGCAGATTTTAGAGATTAGTAAAGTAAAACTCAAAAAGGTTCAAGTGATTTGCCATCCCCCTCCAAAAAAAGTAGGAAAATAATATAAATATGATTAAAAAGTAAACCAGAAAAGCCTTTATAAAGCACTAAAATCTGAAAATGCTTTCCCAATTTATAACAGGAGAATGACATTGAAAGAAATTACACTTGACAATACAAATAGTCAGGCACATCGGAAAATAGCTGGGCAGTTTGTTAAACATACACTTCTTATAAAGTTAAACATACACTTACCATATGACCCAGCAATATCATTCCTAGGTTATTACCCAAGACAAATGAAAACACATTACACAAAGACATGAACTCAAATGTCCAGACTCTATTAGTACTAACCAAAAGCTAGAAGCAGCCCAAATGTCCACAAGTGATTAACAGATAAACTGTGATATATCCAGACCATAACTACTACTCAACCATTAAAAAAACTAATGATGTATAAGACATGGATGAATATTAAAAGTATTATGCTATGTAAAAGAAATCAGCCACAAAATAACTATGTATTGCATGAGTCCATTTATATGAAATTCTAGAAAAGCAATTATAGTAACAGCAGATAAAGTGGTTGCCAGGGTTAAGGGATGAGGACTGGGCTGCAAAGGGAGAACAAAGAACTTCTTGGGGTAACGAAAATAACCACTATATCACGATCAGAGTGTTTGTTACACTACTGTATACATCTGGCAAAACTCATCAAATTATAACTTTACATTGCTTAATTTTATTACAGAAGTTACAACTCAATAAGTCTCATTTAAAAAATAATTCATAATCACATTTAACTATGACAACAGCTTTTCAGCATAGGTATTTACTACAGCCCATCAAAGAATATTAAAATCAATATTTAGGAGGGAACTTTTAACCATGCAGTAGATATACAGGAACTAAAAAGTTCTGAGAATGGAACAGTCCTCATCCTACTCAACTTGGCCATGTGGGTAAACAGTAGTTGCCTAGCAACTAATGTAAACTCTAAATTTCTAATAAATACATTGACCACATAAGCAGGTGATCTCACAGATGATAAACCAAGCTTTACATAGAAGGGTTCTTCCTTTAATAATAAAAAATAATAATGTGCTTAAGTTATTTAACTAAAGTAGGAGTAAACAAGGGATACTAAACCTAGATAATGAAAAATAAAAATATGAAATTAAACATAAACATACACACACACAAAATCCTTGTCCTCGTTTGGCCTTTTACGTCAGGACTTTACTTACCTAATTTATGGGATTAATCCATGAATTTGTGGGTGAACCCTTTCCCCTTTTCTACTTTAAGCCACTCCCGTACAGCCATTCAAACTGGCTTAATTCTCTTATTTACATGTGATTAAATGCATACAGGATAGTACTTTTACATATTTTAAATGATTCTAAAGGTATCTCTCCAGATTATAGAACCTGTAGACACCACAGGAAAATACAACACTTTCTGTAACATGCATACACACAACATACCAGAAAGTCAAACCTAACTAGATTATAAATGTGCAAAATCAAGAATTACAAAGAAATCCCTTAATAACAGGCAAATTCCTAACACACATATTAAATATATCATTTCTGCCTTACTAGACATAGCATGTCACAGTTTAACAGCATCAGAAAAAAGATCAACTTCTAAGACATCACTCACTGCTAGCACTCTTACCAACCGTATTATTTTTGGTTTGTGGAGCACTTACCCCTCTTCTGAACCCAACCTTCTTTCACAATGGTAACATCGCTCATGATGACTCCCCTCTGAGCCCCCAACTTGGAGAAATGGTACTTTGTGATATCAGCTTTAGGGTTTGGATTCTCTGCTGCTGCTGCCCTTCCCACTCTCTAGTGATGACTCAGCCTGGAAGGAAGTATTGAAGAAAGAATTTCTTTTTTTTCCATTCTCGCAACTCACAGAGCAATAACAAACAACTAATTCTTTGTAAATGTCTTCAACTGGCCTGACCTCACATAAAAGTCTAGCTCTTCAAACTGGGGAACTTATTTGTTAAATAGTTCTATAATGAATGCACTTCCCTAGTCTTGTGACCAATTTCAAATGATAGTGAAACTTTTAACCTAAGAGGCTGCAACAAAAGTCTTAAGAAAACCAGTCACGCCTACCCAAATAATACAGAAAATTTGTTTGGTGATGTGTATTTGAGCTAAAGAGGGAAGCGAATAAAAGTTAATAGCCCTAGTTGTGAATACTGTTTTGTTGTTTTTTGAAACGGAGTCTTACTCTGTCACCAGGCTGGAGTGCAGTGGCACGATATCTGCTCACTGTAACCTCCGCCTCCCAGGTTCAAGCGATTCTTCTGCCTCAACCTCCTAAGCAGCTGGGACTATAGATGTGTGCCACAACACCTGGCTAATTTTTGTATTTTTAGTAGAAATGGGGTTTCACCATATTGGCCGGGCTGGTCTCGAACTCCTGACCTCGTGATCCACCCACCTCAGCCTCCCAAAATGCTGGCATTACAGGCATGAGCCACCACACCCAGTCGTGAATACTTTAACTGATATAAAATGCCCAATCATCATTTATGTATTCTTACTCTGCCTGTTCCAAGAAATATTTTAGGGAGATTAAAAAATAATTGATTTCATACTATGTACTTATAAAGTGAAACAAAGGGAATATGAAACTAGAAAAAAATATTGAGTATTCAAGATGTGCCAAGAACTGTTACAGATGCTTACATCTATTATTCTTATGTGATCTTGATAACCTTATGATGATACTATTAATTCCATTTCACAGATAAGGAAACTGAGGCTCACAGAGATAAAGCAACTTGCTCCATTTCAACACACCTAGTAAATGTGGAGCCAAGATCTGAAACCAGGCTATCTGACTCCAAAGCCTGCATTCCAAAACTACACTGCCTTAAGATAAAAAGAAGTCAGAGTAAAGGCACACATATTGGGGAAAGATAAGCCACAAATTTGGCACTGAGTTCTTGGGAAGACAATGCAAATAATACAATAGGTTTTCCTATTTACAGTATCCAAAAAAAATTTTTTTTGAGATGGGGTTCCCCCCCATCATCCAGGCTAGAGTACAGTGGCACAATCATAGCTCACTGCAGTCTCCACTGGGGCTCAAGCAATCCTCCCACCTCAGCCTCCTGAGTAGCTGAACTACAGGTAGGCATCACCTTGCCTGGCTAATTTTTTAAAAAATTTTTTGTAGAGATAGGGTCCCCCTATATTGTCCACGCTGCACAAATTTTTTTAAAAAAGGAAAAAAAGTTCCTCAGAAGAAATACAACTTTTCCTGGGACAAAAATCAAATTTATCCCAGGGGTCTTCTTCGTAACACGTATGCAGGAAAGTCCTCAAAAACATCCTCCCATATACAGCAATGAGTTTTACAGGGTCATTGCTTATTGTCACTCTCAAACTAAAAAGGAAAATGCCAACATGACATTAGTAAATCCATTTGCACCAAAGGGGACCAAAAAATGTGGTTCAGGTACACCAGTGTTATGTGGTCAAGAATCATATGCATAAATTTAGGTAACTAGAAAAATGGATAGATGGACTACACAAACATACTCTCTCAACTTGGGTTGTGATAAATGATACACAGCAGTTAAGTTCAGTGTTAGACTCCCAACCTAGTGCTAAATTAGAGTACAGGTCTTTCTTCAATGCAAATTAAGTGTGGAGCCTAACCATTTAGCAGTCAGGAATCAAGACTAAACATTCTCTATATAGCCTGACTAAATAAACTGACAAAAGCTATGTAGCTGAAAGCAAGATCACCAGCCTCATGTATTATGAGGTCACAGGCAGAATCTATAGGTAAGGCTGAGACTCCTCAAAATCACCATGAGTCTGTTGCTGTGGAGAGTCAAAAAGGGATATTAGCTTGTAATCCCAGCACTTAAGGAGGCCAAGGCAGGAGGATTACTTACGTCCAGGAGTTCAAGGCAAACCTGGGCAACAAAGTGAGACTATGTCCATACAAAAAAGAAAAAAGAAAAAAAAGAAAAATTTAAAATGAGCTGGGCATCAAGGCATGCACCTGCAGTCCCCACTGCTGGGGAGGCTGAGGTGGGAGAAATCACTTGAGCCCAGAAGTTCAAGGCTGCAGTGAGCTATGACTGCACCAACACACTCCAGCCTGGGCAACAGAGCAAGACCCTCTTTTTAAAAAAAAAAAAAAAAAGGGATATTAGAATCTGGAAGTATTTTCCCAAAATACATTTGTTTGACAGAATACTAAATTAGAGAAATTCTAGAAAAATAATGAAAATAAAGATGAAAAAGAGAAATCCTCTGGGCTAGTAAGTAGGAAATTCCACAAATCATATTCTCTTGAAACGTCACTATTGGTATATTAAAGGTTCTAAAAGAAATATGTATAACTTTACCTCAGCAAAGCCTAAATTTATTACTGTCATAGGAAATGGCCACATAATAAGACTTATTTCACCACACATGTTAAAAAAAAAAAAAAAAAAAAGCCAAAAAACCTTCAATAAAGAATCTAAACATCATTTTAATTTGATGTAACATCCTAAAGAATCCAACATGGCCAACTGCCTACATAATATAGAGCTACATAACTGAAAAGGTTAACTACTTACACTGCATAAAGAATTATAAGTCAAATACTGGCAGACACTGGTGCATGATATCTCTAGAAGAGCTGCACTGTAGCCCTTCTCTTTGGTAATACTTGTAGCAAGGGGCTCAATATCTATTAAGGCCATTCTTGCTTTTTTACTATAAAACTATATAAAATGAGTAAAAGACAATTCAGATCTTACTATTCTTAGAGTGGAAATGAGAGAGAGATCAGGGTAATAATGAGTAATAACAAAAAATAATATATATCCAATAAACATATATAAAATACATACTTTCCTATCAAAATGGCTTGTATTACAGTATCTTTTTAAAGAACACTAAAAAAAAATTTACAAAATTGATTCTGTATTTCAAAGTGAACATTTTATTATCAGAATGTTAAAGCTGGAGCAACCCTCATTTTATAGCTGAAGAAACAGAGATCAAGACAGATGAAGTAACTTGACCAAAATGAAACAGTCACCAAATGGCCAACCAGGACCAGACAATCAAGCATATGCTCTTTCCACTCACATTACTTCTTCAGAATAAAACAATACACTGAAATATCCAGACCAACCCAAAAATCAATGAATTTTGTTTTCTAACGAAACTGTTTCTAAAAATTAGTGTTTTAGATAAATGTTTTTATCAGTGTTCATATGTGTAAGATTAAACTGTGAAAATGTATGTTAAATCAACAGGACAGAATTTATAATCTTCATCAGAGGCAGTGAACCCAAGCATACATTATAGAGATGGCTTTACCCATTTTCACTTAAAACTATTATCAAATATTACCCATAATTTTCAGCTTTAAAAATTGCCCCTTGGTCTTTACTGGCTAAAATGATACATCCTTTGAAAATAACTTAAAAGATGTCATAGGTACACTACTCTGGAATTAAGGTAAGTTAGAAATAAACAGTTCTATTGACTAGTAAGCAGCAAACCATGTTCTTTAATTTTCCCATTGCAGCAACACTCCTGCACAACAGCATACACTGTCCCATTCAGTCTTCCATATTAACTAAAAACACTAATCCACAAGACGAGCTGGAACTCTGTCATCTGCTTCCTAGGGTAGACAGAAGTTCACCTCCTTCTATATTCCTAACTGTTCTACAAGTGTGTTCCATCCAACAAACTATAACATAATTGGGTTTATTTTTCTTTTAAGCTTATTGCATTAAACATTTCATTGCTAATTTAATTTTTCCCATTCTTATAAAGTTTCACACAAAATTCTTGACAGATTCCACTTAGATTTTACTCCTAAAACAGTTACACGAAAGGTATCTTCATTCAGAACTGACTGCTTGAGAATTTGATAACAGTAATAGCATTTGAATATCATTTTATAATTTACAAAACATTTTGCACATTTTACTTCATTTAATCACATTATAATTTAGTAAAGCAATCTGACACTGCCTAGCACTTACACATGCTGGCAAATATGGAATAAATGAATGAGTGGATGAATGATGAAGATGCGGTCTTAGATAACTAACAAAGAACAGGCTATGCAAACAAATATAAATTAGTAGAGAGAACGGTCTTAAGCCATCTTAAAAATGAAACTGAATTTAAACATTAAAGAAGCACTTATATATAAATTATAATTAAAATGATAATAAATACTGTGCCCTATTCCTTAAGGTATGTTTCCTATAGACCTCCATTAATTACAAGGACTAGAACACAATAAACGTATCCTTTTTTTCTTGATAGCTTTTCACCATTTTTGCTGAGATTAAGTTTCAACTTCAAGCAAAACCACCATCAATATTATAAATACATATCGATATATTATCAATATATCGATATATATTATAGCATTAAGCTAACCAAAATGATCAATTATGGGAAGAAAAATGGGAAAGAATGGCATATTTTCTTAATGATACTTTTAAGAATTTGTAAAAGACACGTTTGCTTGTAGTAACCAGCCATTCAATTTTAAGCAAAAAGTAAATTTCTTCAAACATCTTTTGAAAATATTAACTCAAAAAAATATGTAACATACATATACTTATTCAGTCAATAAATTATGTATTGATTGTCTACTCCATGACAAGGACTATTACAGGTTGGTAAGAAAAACTAACTGGTTTCTTTAAGAATCTTGTCCAAACTTGTAACTTATCAAAGAGCTTTCACATATATCAATTCATTTGACTCTAAAAAACAAATCTGTGCTGTAGCTATTACAGTCACAATTTTGAACCTGTGACCAACCAGTAACATTACTTCCCCTAGTTACGATAAGTTAGCAAC